AACTAAAGTAACGCATTACTTTTGAATTTACAGTTACTTTTTCAAATGATTCAGATTTTCCTTAAAATTGATAAAAACGCAAAAGAAATGTAGCTGTCACGTTTTGGGTTTTGTTTCTGTGTCTTGTCATGTGATTCCCTGTTAGTCATGTGATCCTGCCACGTGTCGTGTCATTGGTTAATCGTCTGATCATTGTTCACAGGTGTCCTTTGTTTTGTCATTAGTCTGTGTATTTGAGCCCTCATGTTTGTCCTTGGTCGAGTATTGAATGTTTCCTGTAATGTCGTGTAAGTTTATGTTCTTGTTTTGAGTTCCATACCTCGTCATGCCTTTGTTTTATGTTTGATCACATTTTAGAATAAATTGCATTTGAGTTCTCACTACTACTTGCGTCCAGTGGTCCTCAATTGTTACATTAGCGCATTACTTTCCATAAAAAGTAACTAAACAATGCAATTTGATACTTTTATAAGGAGTATCACAATATTAAAACGCATTAAAGTAACTTTTCCCATGCAACAGTGGTTAAAAGTTTCCCAATTATTATTATTATTATATTACAAACATTTTAAAAAGTAGCAGAGCTAAATGAAAAAGGCATGGTGAAAAGCAAGTTATGTAATCAGATTACTTTTTCCCAAGTAAATAAAGTAACGCATTACTTTTGACTTTACAGTTACTTTTTCAGTAACTTTTTCAGAACAGTGTTTATCATTTATATTTAATGATGGGTTTTTTTTCAGAGTTTTTGTTTTATATATATATATATATATATATATATATATATATATATATTGTTATTTTTCAATTTATGTACACATATATATATATATATATATATATATATATATATATATATATATATAGTATAGTTCTTATATATATTGTGTATATATATATAGTTCTTTTTTTTCATCCTCTCTCAACAACCTCATCTCTCAATTCATCATCTCTTAATTTCCTGTTCTTCCTTTACATATATATATATATATATATTGTTTAATTACTGTAAATACTTATATATATATATATATATATATATATATATATATATATATATATTCTATATATTCTATATATAATGAGCATTGTTCTACATATATATATTAGGAGACTTATAATAGAGATATACACATACTCAACACAATTTTCCTACTCCTTTTTGTACATGTAAATCGAGTTGTTTTTTTAAGTACTGGAAAGTATGGAGTTTTATTTAGTTTTTTTACCATTATTTTTTTTCTTTATCTGATTAATTTTTTTTATTGTATTTACATGTTCAAAATAAAGAAATAAATCAATTTTACACACACACTTTCACACAATTACACGTATAATACATCATACTTTCTGTTTTTTGTGTTTTGTATGGATGATATCGTCTAACTGTTTGTTTGTCTTATGTTCTGCTTTAATAAATAAAAATAAAGAGTTGTACTAGTAATTCAGTGGTTTTCTTCCCGCCGCAGGTTATTCAGATCAACTTCGAAGAGTTCGACCTGGAGCTGGGATACGATACGCTGACTGTCGGAGACGGTGGAGAGGTCGGAGACTCCAAAACAATCATACAAGTGTAAGATTCAGTGCTTTACTCCAGTCGTGTGTTATGAGGAGTGCAAACTCCTGTTAAACACTCTTAAATCAAGATACATTTACTGGAGACGCAAGACGACTGAAGTCTTTGTTCACTGAAGAATGCATCAAAATGAAGCGAGTTTCTGCTTAAAACAAGAACAAATATCTGTTACTTTAAAGTTGATTCAAAGCGAAAACATTTTTATTTGTTCTTGTTTTAAACACAAACTCACTTCATTTTGATGCATTTTTCAGTAAACAAGACTTTATATCTTGTGTCTTTTTGCTTTTCCAGTAAATGTATCTTGATTCGAGAATGTTTCGATGTTTGTAATGGAAAACGAGACAGAAATACCAAGAAAGAAATTCACATTTTGCTGTGGATTGCTTGGCAAAAACATCAAAATATCCAAACATCCTTAAATCAAGATGTATTTACTTGAGAAACACGACATGCTTAAACTATGGGAAAGCTATTAAGATATATGAAATTAAGGCCTTGAAGTTAATATGTGTATATATATTTATATATGTGTGTGTGTGTGTGTGTGTGTGTGTGTGTGTGTGTGTGTGTGTGTATATATGTGTGTGTATGTGTGTGTATATAATATATATATATATATATATATGTGTGTGTGTGTATATATGTGTGTGTGTGTGTATATATGTGTGTGTGTGTCTATATATTCCCTATTAGCAAGTTTCATTAAATCCATGCTTAAAAACAAGAATTATTCGCCAACGGAGTAAGAAATATAAACTGAATTCAAGGCCTTTAATATCTTATGCAATCTTGTTTTTCGAGTAAATTGATCTTCCTTTAAGGATTTTTCGACATTTTAACTGGAAAACAAGTCAAGATGATTACTCAAGTGTTGAGTAATTAGCATTGACCATTGACTTGCAGCTAGAATATTTTATTTTAGTCACTTTTCTTAATTTTTATTTTTCTTTCCCACTTGGTTTTCCTGCACCATCAAGTCATAATGTAGTTTTGCCCGACAATTTACTATGCATATGCGTTATTAAAATATATATAACAAATAAAATTCCTATCAGACAACCCACACATGATATTTGTGAATAAATTTATTTTATTTCAGACAGACGAAGGGAAATGAAATGCTAAGTTAGAGACACGTTGTAACATGCTGTGTCTGGACATGTCTGCATAATATTTGAATGATTACATTTAAAACGTCCAAGTTTAATAGACTCTACGAGTGTTTTATCTTGCATTTGGTTCAGCTTTGCAGAAGCTATCCGTTCATTTCAACAGCTTGAAAGCCACGAAACCGTAAAAACACACACAGGCTCAGATCCTCCGGCTATATTTTCCTCCTCACGAACCGGTTTCCCGTCCAGCTCTTCTCCCAGTCATGCGTGAGTCTCCGGGTGTCTTTGGTGATGGTCTGCGCTGGTTTCTGGCGCATTTGCCTGGCGCGTGTCCAGCTGGGATCCATCGAGCGTTCCTCAAGGACAAAAGCCTCTCGCCGGAGCACTCACACACACCGAAGGCTCAATCAAGGCCTTTCTCAGGGGTTATGCCGGTCAAACGGGTTTGCTACTTTTATGATCATGCTTTATCAAAGACTTTAGATATACAAAGTGATATACACAAAGTGCACTCATATTACTTTGAATGGGAGGAAGTGCAATGTGCAATATGGAGGAATAACCTCCTTTCCCATTTAAAGCGACAGGAGCTGAAACGGCTGCTATTACACATAGAAAACAGCGGTTTTACATTGGAATAATATTTCGCTATTTTTACTGTATTTTTGATCAAATAAACGCAGCTTTGGTGAGCAGAATAACCTTTTTTTCAAAAACATTTTAAAAATATTACCAACTTTTGAATAGTGTGTATATTGCAATGGTTTTAAAAAAAAAAATATTATTTGTTTAACTCAGAGTTATTTCTGTTATTATTTTAAGAAACATTTAATTAAAGTAGTATGTAACGTATAAATTGAAAACACTCCTGATACAAACAATTACAGACACTTCAGATGTCGGACATTAATTTCATGAATTTGAAGCACAAACTCAATCATAAAAAGTGATTTTTTTTTCCTGAAATATAAAAAAATAATACCGACTCCAAACGTTTGAACTGTAGTGCTCCTTGCACTACCAAATATATAGCATTGTGTATGAATACAGTAAGCCGTTTCACTCGGATATACTTCACAATAGAGAAGAAAAGACTAATATAACTGTTATCTGTCTCCTGAGTTATGAAAGAGCAACCATTAAACAATACAATTTCCAGTAACACTTTACTTGAAGGGGTGTGCATAAGACTGACACGACACATTCATAATCATGACATGACACGTCATTAATATGAAGGAGGGTTTATTCATGTTTATGACGACTGTCATTAAGTGTCACTCGCTCAATTATAACATTTTGAATGCAAATATGACATTGTTTGAGATGTCTTTGTTATGACACCTTGACATAAACCAATACATCATAACCTGTCAGTGTCTTTGTCATGACTGTCTTAATTATGTCATAAACATTACATAGCAGATTAATGATCAAACTTAAGAAAGCACTGAGCTTTATGGTTAACATTACATTAAACTGTCATGTGGTTGGTTTTGACATTGGCTGTCATGAGACCTTTATAACATTTTAATGACAAATGAAATGTGTACCACTGTAGTTGAAGTCAAGAAAAATATTCATGACACAGTTATAATGCCTCATGACAGCCAATGTCAAAACCAACCACATGACAGTTTAATGTAATGTTAACCCATAAAGCTAAGTGCTTTCTTAAGTTTGATCATTAATCTGCTATGTCATGTTTATGACAGGTTGTGTTGTCTTAGTAATGTCAAGTTGTCGTGACAAAGACACTGACAGGTTATGATGTATTGGTTTATGTCAAGGTGTCATAACAAACACATCTCAAACAATGTCATATTTGCATTAAAAATGTCATAATTGAGCAAATGACACTTAATGACAGTTGTCATAAACATGCATAAACCCTCCTTCATATATGATTATGAAGGTGTCATGTCAGTCTTATGGACACCCATTCAAGTAAAGTGTTACCCACTTTTTTATCAGTCATTCGAGTATCAGTAGCTGTCTGCTTAATATCTGCTATCACTTGATCAACAACCACAAGGCGCTTCAATCCTCAGCGTATCGGCATAAACAAACCAACAAGAATGCAACTAGTGTTGGGTATCGTTTGAATTTTAACGATTCCGATTCTGATTTCGATTCTGCTTATCGATACCTAATTTCGATTCCAATAAGGTAAAAAAAAATCTTAGATATCATTCACATTTAGTCTTATTACAAAACATTTAATTTTAGCTGAACACAAATCAACAGGTTAAAGAACACTAACGCAAGGAGCGTTTGCCTGTGGTTTAAAAACACCATAGAAAAACAACTAGCCAAACTAATATAAGCTTCAAGCATTATTAAAGACAAGTAAACACTCAGTTATAAAAAAACAAAACAAATAAAAAATTAGCAATCGCAACAAATAGATACAACAGAACAAAGATGCGATTGAAATAAACGGTATTAAGATTTTCAGGTGTTCAGAAACTGAAATCAAATGTAAAATAACACTGCACTTTATAAATAAAATATACATTACAAATAGTTACAAAAGTGATTCAGTCAAGAACGAGTGAGTTTTCTCCTTGTCTTTTGTTGTTTGATTAGAGTTATTATAGAGACGGCAGCAGGAATATTAGTGCTGTCACTTTAAGAGCTGCACGGGTCCAATATACTGATACACGTGTAGCACAGAAAACAGTTTTCTGAATAGTTTAAAGTCCTATTGAAATACTCAAAAAGGAATCGATAAGAGGAAGCGAAATTTTTATTTTATACCAAGTATCCGATTCCTGACCTCAAGTATTCGATTCCATTGAATCGTTTTATGATTCCCAACTCTAAGACTGTTATTCTGCACTGGCAGGTTAACTGGCAGCTTCGTCCCGGACCTCATCGTCAGCATGACCCATCAGATGTGGCTTCATCTGCAGTCGGATGAAAGCGTGGGCTCTATCGGCTTTAAGATCAACTATAAAGGTGAGTCTGTTCTCTCATAAACCACTCCACCGCATCAGAAGCTTCACTGTGGTTTCTCTCGCCTCCCGACAGAAATCGACAAGGAAAGTTGCGGGGATCCCGGGATCCCTCTGTACGGACTCCGCGAGGGCGCCGGCTTCTCCAACGGGGACGTTCTGCGCTTCGAGTGCCAGTTCGGGTTCGAGCTCATCGGAGAACGGATGATTTCCTGTCAGAACAACAATCAGTGGTCTGCAAACATCCCTATCTGTATATGTGAGTCTCTACATCATCATTATTATCTAGCAAAATGCTAATTCATGATAGCAATGTGATAAATCTTGTTAATAACATGCTAAAATATGTTAAAACATGCTATCATAATGCTAAATCATGCTAGCAAAATGCTAATTCATGTTAAAAACATGTTAATGCATGCTAACAAAATGCTACAACATGCTAATTCATGTTAACATCAGAACAACAATCAGTGATCTGCAAACATCCCTATCTGTATATGTGAGTCTCTACATCATTATTATCTATAGCAAAATGCTAATTCATGATAGCAATGTGATAAATCTTGTTAAAAACATGTTAAAACATGTTAAAACATGCTACCATAATGCTAAATCTTGTTAGCAAAATGCTAATTCATGTTAGAAACATGTTAATTCATGCTAACAAAATGCTAAAACATGTTAACAACATGCTAATTCATGTTAACATCAGAATAACAATCAGTGATCTGCAAACATCCCTATCTGTATATGTGAGTCTCTACATCATCATTACGATAACTCGCTTCACCTACTACGTACCTATCACTATCAATACCTAACAACTAGCTTAAAACATGCTAGTGACATGCTAATTCATGATAGCAATGTGATAAATCATGTTAGCAAAATATGCTAAAACATGCTAGCAACATGCTAATCCATGTTGGCAATGTGTTCAAACATGTTAATTCATGCTAGAAACATGCTAATATTATGCTAAAACATGTTAATTTAAGTCAACATGGTAATTTATGTTAGCAATGTGTTAAAACCTGTTAATTCATGTTAGCAATGTGTTAAAACATTTTAGCAAAATGATTATTTATGCTTATTCAATGGCTATTCATTCATCAAACAACATGTTAATCATGCCAACAATGTGCTAAAACAAGCTAGCGACGTGTTAATTCATGTTAGCAAAATGCTAATTTATTCTAGCAATGCGCTAATTCATTTTAGCAATGTGCTAATTCATGCTAGCAATGTGCTAATTCATGTTAACAACATGTTAAATCATGTTAGCAAAATGTTAATTAATGTTTGCAATATGCTAATACATCCAAGCGACATGTTAAAATATGCTAGCAAAATGCTAAGTAATGTTAGCAACATGCTTAAACATGTTAGAAACATGCAAATTTTGAAATATGCATGTTAGCAATCAGGTTAACAATGTGATAAAACATGCTAGCTGCATGCTAGTTCGTGTTAGCAATGTGATAAATCATGTTAACAACATGTTAAAGATGCTAGTAACATGTTAATCCATGTTGGCAATGTGTTCAAACATGCTAAATCATGCTAGTAACGTGTTAATTCACGTTTGCAATGTGATAAAACATGTGAGCAACATGTTAAATCATAACAACATCCTATTTCATGCAATCAACGTGATATAACATTCTAGCAACATGGTAATAAACCAGCGATGTTCCAAAAGTTTAATAGTGAAGTTTTAATTTATGCTAGCATTGTGCTAATTCATGCTAGCAATGCGTTATTTCATGTTAGCTACTTGTTAAATCATGCTAGTAACATGCTAATCATGCTAGCAACATGCTAATTCATGTTAGCAACATGCTAAAACATGCTAATAACTTTCTTTTTTTACTTTCTCAGATTAAAACTTTTTCAAAGTTATTTTAAACTTTCAGACCTGGCTTTGTCAAGCCAACAATCAAAGTGTGTCATCAAATGTTACTCTTCTAGTTTCTCTTGTCATTGCAATGAATGTAAAGCATGATTTATACTGCCAAGCTCCAAAAATGTACCATAAAAGTACTTCCAAGTCTTCTGAAGTCACACATGGCATTGCATGAAGTAGAGGCCGAAATTCGAGCTGATGAAAATGATGTATATCAAAAGTTTCAAAAAACCGAGCCATATTAGCAGGCATTATGATTAACTAAAACTAAAACCATTTAAAAAAACACACATAAATTTCAGAAGTCGTAATGATGATGTGATCTGTGTTATTTTAGTTGGACTAAATTGAGCAATTTCATTTTTCTTTCTCTCAGACTAGAAGCTTTTTAAGTGCTAATGCAACAAAATGAAGAGCAAAGAATGCACATTAAGTGCATAATCGATGCTTTATGCCTTCCATCATTTGCATTCTGCCACAGAGAATGATGGGAAATGTTGTCTTTTCACACAAGCCTGTTGCTTCATTAACTGGCTAAGTGAGTAGTATTTTCTGGGCAGTGTGATCACTGTTCTTCATTAACAATTTCCATAAAACTAAATTATGCGGTTAACACCCACAATTAAAACTTAATTATGATCAGAACCACTTGGATGGTGGCAGAATCTGTTTTTAATATCATGTTTTGGACACAATGATGAATACCATGTTTGTCAATATCAAGTAGCAATACCATGATGAATTGTTTTTGAAGTCTCTTCTGCTCACCAAGACTGCATTTCTTTGAGTAAAAATACAGTAAAAATTGCTAAATATTATTAAAATGTAAATCAGCTGTTTTCTGTGTGAATATACAGTAAAGTGTAATTTATTCCTGTGATCAAAGCTGAGTTTTCAGCATCATTACTCCAGTCTTCAGTGTCACATGATCCTTCAGAAATCACTCTAATATGAGGATCTGATGCTCAAGAAACATTTATGATTATTATCAGTGTTAAAAATATCTTCATATTTTTGTAGAAACTGTCATACATTTTATTTTTGATGATTAGAAAGTTTTCTTTGAAATAGGATCTTTGCTGAAAATATATATATATATATATATGATCATTCTGACAAGAGTTGAAAGTCAAGTCAGCTTGGAAGTCATAATTACTATGTGAAGTGCATTTAAGTAATCATAACATGGACGTCGCTGATTTGTGTTGCCATGATGTAATTTTCCTGCCAGCTTCTCCTGGTGCACAGACGTTTAGCTCTCTTCAGGTACATTAGTACTTGTGCATTCAGGAAATAATTTAGGACCACAGTTCTCCATCCTCGCCGGCTCATTATGAGCACCGAATCTCTTAGAGTCTGTGAAACACAAGTCTAAATGAAACGATGTCAAGAGGTCGGACTAATTAAACCCCAGCTTTATGCCAGTGTGTGTAAACAAAGCAAATTCTGCGCCGTTAAACATGGCTGACAGACTCTAAAGGACAGCTGCGCTCATCAATATGATAAGATGACAATTCTCTTGGAGATTAACAACTAAACAGCTCCGTTGTACTAAAGAGCAAAGCTATTTCAATATGATTTTAAGCTCTACTAGAGCAGGTTTTAATGCATTAATGTTGATTATTCTCCTCATATTCTCCATTGTTGCGGCTCCTCTCTTCCCAGTCTGTCAGTAACGCTCTGTTTACTTCCTGTCTCTATGAAGCCCCTCCTTCTGAAAGCACACTGTGCTCTGATTGGTCGGCTGGAGCAGTGTGTTGTGATTGGTCGAGCGCTTCGAGTGTGTTTGGGAAATGTCCCGCCCCTTCCCATAACCGCCAGTTTAACACACTACTAACTAACTCAACCAGGCCCCGCCCCTTTATTCTGCGTATGAATTATTATAATGAGGAATATTGTGACGTGTTCGTTCCCGGAAGAAACTCGAGACTACAATGGAGGCGTTTCAGGAGTTCAGAAACACTGACTCTGATATAGAGAATAACTCTATTTTGAAAAAAATGTTCATGCTCAAATCTTTTCTGCTCTTAACCATCCGTCTCTTAGTTCCCTGTATGTCCAACTTCACGGCTGCGATGGGAACCGTTCTGTCTCCGGATTATCCCGAGGGATACGGGAACAACCTGAACTGTGTGTGGCTGATCATCACTGAGCCGGGCAGCCGAATCCATCTGGCCTTCAACGACTTCGACCTGGAGCCCCCGTACGACTCGCTGACGGTGCGGGACGGGGATCTGGTGGAGGCGCTGGTGTTGGGACGCTTCTCCGGGGCCGAGGTGCCTTCACATCTCACCAGCAACTCTAACATCATCCAGCTGGAGTTCCAGGCCGACCACTCGATGTCCGGCCGAGGCTTCAACATCTCCTACAGCAGTGAGTGCTTCCTTGGTGTTTCTGTCTGGTTTTCCAGTTCAAATATCTAAACATTCTTAAATCAAGATATATTAAGTGGAGAAGCAAAATGACAGAGATTGAGGCTGTTTTTGCTGTGTGAAGTGTTTGTTGCACTAAAAAAAAAAAAAAAAAAACGTTCTTAACATTCTTAAATCTAGATACATTTACTGGAGAAGCAAAATGACTGGAGATATCGAGTTTTGATTTCTGAAAATATCTGCTGATGGGGTCAGAAATTATAGGGGCTTATATTACACCCGGTACAATGCAGCGCCGGCGCGACGCGAGTGTGTTCTGCTAGTTTCAGCCCGACGCAGTTTTCATTTTCACGTCCTTGCTTCACGTTGTTTAAATAGCAAATGCATTTGCGCCCAACTGTGCGCCCGTGAGCTGCTGGCCTGAGAACGAGTGTGTGTTCAGGAGCATTGATGGAGCGTTGCTATTTTGAGGAACTGAAAAAGACAGAGCCGTTGACCAACTGAGACCTGGTGTAAAGTCAATGGCGCAATATTTTGTTTGTTATTTAAAGAGCATGTTAGTAATGTGTGCCTATAGGCGGGTCCACAACGTGCGTACACAGTGCTTATTACACAGACTCTGCTTATTACACACACTCTGCTTATTACACACACTCTGCTTATTACACACACTCTGCTTATTACACACACTCTGCTTATTACACACACTCTGCTTATTACACACACTCTGCTTATTACACACACACTCTGCTTATTACACACACTCTGCTTATTACACACACTCTGCTTATTACACACACTCTGCTTATTACACACACTCTGCTTATTACACACACACTCTACTTATTACAAACACACACTGCTTATTACACACACTGCTTATTACACACACACTCTGCTTATTACACACACTCTGCTTATTACACACACACTGCTTATTACACACACACTCTGCTTATTACACACACTCTGCTTATTACACACACTCTGCTTATTACACACACTCTGCTTATTACACACACTCTGCTTATTACACACACTCTGCTTATTACACACACTCTGCTTATTACACACACTCTGCTTATTACACACACTCTGCTTATTACACACACACTCTACTTATTACAAACACACACTGCTTATTACACACACTGCTTATTACACACACACTCTGCTTATTACACACACACACACACACACACACACACTGCTTATTACAAACACACACTGCTTATTACACACACTCTGCTTATTACACACACACTGCTTATTACACACACTCTGCTTATTACACACACTCTGCTTATTACACACACACTGCTTATTACACACACTCTGCTTATTACACACACTCTGCTTATTACACACACTCTGCTTATTACACACACTCTGCTTATTACACACACTCTGCTTATTACACACACTCTGCTTATTACACACACACTGCTTATTACACACACTCTGCTTATTACACACACTCTGCTTATTACACACACTCTGCTTATTACACACACTCTGCTTATTACACACACACTCTACTTATTACAAACACACACTGCTTATTACACACACTGCTTATTACACACACACTCTGCTTATTACACACACACACACACACACACTGCTTATTACAAACACACACTGCTTATTACACACACACTGCTTATTACACACACACTGCTTATTACACACACACTCTGCTTATTACACACACACACACACACACACTGCTTATTACACACACACACTGCTTATTACACACACACTCTGCTTATTACACACACACACACACACACTGCTTATTACACACACACTCTGCTTATTACACAAACACACTCTGCTTATTACACACACACACTGCTTATTACACACACACTCTGCTTATTACACACACACTCTGCTTATTACACACACACACTCTGCTTATTACACACACACTCTGCTTATCACACACACACTCTGCTTATTACACAAACACACTCTGCTTATTACACACACACTCTGCTTATTACACACACACACACGCACACACACACACTGCTTATTACACACACACACACACACACACACTCTGATTATTACACAAACATACTCTGCTTATTACACACACACACACACTCTGCTTATTACACACACACACTCTGCTTATTACACAAACACACTCTGCTTATTACACAAACACACTCTGCTTATTACACAAACACACTCTGCTTATTACACACACACTCTGCTTATTACACACACACACACACAAACACACACTGCTTATTACACACACACACACACTGCTTATTACACACACACTCTGCTTATTACACACACACACACACACTGCTTATTACACACACACTCTGCTTATTACACACACATACACACACACACACTGCTTATTACACACACACTCTGCTTATTACACACACACACACACACACACACACACACTGCTTATTACACACACACTCTGCTTATTACACACACACACACACACTGCTTATTACACACACACACTGCTTATTACACAAACATACTCTGCTTATTACACACACACACACTGCTTATTACACACACACTCTGCTTATTACACACACACTCTGCTTATTACACAAACACACTCTGCTTATTACACACACACTCTGCTTATTACACAAATACACTCTGCTTATTACACACACACACTCTGCTTATTACACACACACTCTGCTTATTACACACACACTCTGCTTATTACACAAACACACTCTGCTTATTACACAAACACACTCTGCTTATTACACACACACTGCTTATTACACACACACACACACACACACACACACACACACTGCTTATTACACACACACACACTGCTTATTACACACACACTCTGCTTATTACACACACACACACACACACACACACACACACTGCTTATTACACACACACACTCTGCTTATTACACACACACTCTGCTTATCACACACACACACACACACACACACACACACACACTGCTTATTACAAACACACTCTGCTTATTACACACACACTCTGCTTATTACACACACACACACACACACACACACACACTGCTTATTACACACACACACTGCTTATTACACACACACTCTGCTTATTACACACACACACACACACACACTTACACACACTGCTTATTACACACACACTCTGCTTATTACACACACACTATGCTTATTACACACACACACACACACACACACACACTGCTTATTACACACACACTCTGCTTATTACACACACACACTGCTTATTACACACACACACTGCTTATTACACACACACTCTGCTTATTACACACACACACTGCTTATTACACACACACTCTGCTTATTACACACACACTCTGCTTATTACACACACACTCTGCTTATTACACACACACTCTGCTTATTACACACACACACTGCTTATTACACACACACTCTGCTTATTACACACACACTCTGCTTATTACACACACACTCTGCTTATTACACACACACTCTGCTTATTACACACACTCTGCCTATTACACACACTCTGCTTATTACACACACTCTGCTTATTACACACACACACTGCTTATTACACACACTCTGCTTATTACACACACACTCTGCTTATTACACACACACTCTGCTTATTACACACACACTCTGCTTATTACACACACACTCTGCTTATTACACACACACTCTGCTTATTACACACACACTCTGCTTATTACACACACACTCTGCTTATTACACACACTCTGCTTATTACACACACAAGGATTACGATGTAAAAGATTGATATTGTGTAGATAAAGATATGGTGGAATCCGGCTTGTACCGTAGATGGTCTCTTTAACCACACACACACACACACACACACACACACACACACACACACACACACACACACACACACACACACACACACACACACAGCTTTAACCTCACGCACGAGCAGAGCCGGTTCCTCTCTGGAGACGCGTTCAGTCTTTCCGCCATGTAAATAGCGAATCCGCCACGGCGAGACTCTGACTGGTTTATTTCATGTTACGCCCAAAACTCATTAAGCTAATAGGAACAAGCCTTTTAGACCAGCGCCGGGAGCGCCGGCCATTTGTCCCGTCGTTAAACTAGCAAAAATGGATTCACACACACACTAAGGGCACAAGTGCGCTGTAGACCATGCGCTGAGATCGTTCAAATAGGGCCCAGAATGTTTTCCCTTTGAATGAAGTGTTTTTTGTGACCCCATTGGCAGATATTTGTTCTTGTTTCCAGCATAAACTCACTTCGTTTGATATATTTTTCAGAAAACAAGACTCAATATCTGAGGGAAAAACATAATTTTTGCAGTGTGATTTTTTTTTTCAGGATTTTTTTTTTTAACATTAAAATTTTTTCTGAAAAATAATACAATATTTGAAGAAATTGATATTGTTATATATATATAGTTATCATAAATAACAATAAAACACTATTTATTTATTTAAATCCTTATGCATCTTTTTTTCTCTGAAAAACAACATTTATTTATTAATTTGGATGCTTTTTTAGGTGTTTTAGAAAATCTTTTTAGGCTGTCCTAAACTAAAAGAGTTTGTGATGCTTTATGAAGAATTAATACTCTTAAACAAATTCGTTTTTGCTAACAACATTGTTGGCATGCGAAGTGTTGTCTTCAATCTGATTCAGAAACAGCCGTCAAGTAGGACATATGGAAGGACATATTTTCCTCGATTTAATTCATAAGCCATTTATCCACCAGCATCAAACAACTTAATCCTGTTCGCTGAACATCATAGCATTAGCTCAGCCAAAATAATCCTCAAATGCCTGTGCGGCGTACAAGACCCTAGTGTTTACCCACAATCCTCTGTTTTCTACAGTTTGGCTTTGCATTATGTATGCGCTCGTTCCCTTCCATTTCATTAAGTAAGTCACGTCGTAAGTAACAAGCTCTGTGCTTTGATGTTATTTGTTCAGCGTTTGGACACAATGAGTGCCCGGACCCCGGAGTGCCGATGAATGCCAAGCGCTTTGGTAATAATTTCCAGCTGGGAAGCTCCATATCAGTGGTGTGTGAGGAGGGCTTCATAAAGACGCAAGGCTCGGATACTATTGTGTGTGAGCTGGAGGCGGGAAAGGTGATGTGGAGTGGTTTGATCCCCAAGTGTGAAGGTAGGTTTCAAAGCGCTTGCCTCCCTTTAAATGTGTCTGTGGAATACATGTATCAAAGCTGAGCGAAGGAAACCTTTTCCGAAAGATTGATCTAAATTACATGCCTTGCACTCGTAGGGAAGTGGGTTTTAGCTCCACTTCTTATTAAAGTTGATGCACCAAAGAATGTAGGAACACATTTCTCTAATGATATTTTTCATGTTAGTCAAAGTTTTTCCTAAACAACCGTGAGTTTGAATATCATTTTTCGTGAGCTTTATAGCCATACGGAGAGCAATGATATTCAACTCAGATATTGAAAATAAATTAAAGGAAACAAAAATGTTCAAACTGTGAAAAAATGTCTATTCTAAAGACTGTTTCAGTCACTCAGTATTTATTTTTGATAATGTTAAAATGGTGTAATATTTATGAATTTTATTATGTGCCGATTAAGTACAGTGCGCTTGCAGAGACTCCGCCCACACTCTCTTCTGATTGGCTGTGATTTCAGTCACTCCGCCCACACTCTCTTCTGATTGGCTGTGATTTCAGTCACTCCGCCCACACACTCTTCTGATTGGCTGTGATTTCAGTCACTCCGCCCACACTCTCTTCTGATTGGCTGTGATTTCAGTCACTCCGCCTACACTCTCTTCTGATTGGCTGTGATTTCAGTCACTCCGCCCACACTCTCTTCTGATTGGCTGTGATTTCAGTCACTCAGTATTTATTTTTGATAATGTTAAAATGGTGTAATATTTATGAATTTTATTATGTGCCTGATTAAGTGCAGGGCGCTTACAGAGACTCCACCCACACTCTCTTCTGATTGGCTGTGATTTCAGTCACTCCGCCCACACTCTCTTCTGATTGGCTGTGATTTGTGATTGATTTGGATGTGTCTGATTTATAAAGCGTGCCTGCTAAAAAGTTGTCAAACCCATCAGCTGTTTTCCCCCTTTACCATGGTAAAATCACTGTAAGCGATGAGTTTGTAGAAAAATACAAGGGTTTTACGAATATGTTATGAATAAGTTGGGTATTATGACATATAGTCAAACATTGACATCCGTGGCTTATTGATTAAAGGTGCTATGCAGCTGTTTTGCAAACTTCTTGCCTTTTTATCTACTCAAATCACACGACCTCTGCAAAACTGGCCCTATAAAGTGTCATGTTTTTGCTGATTACCATGTGCAACTGTTGTAGAGATGAATGGGGGTGCTAGCAGTTAGCTTAACTATGCTAACAGACGACAACTTTCTTCACGTATTAAAACCTACTTTGCAAAATCAAATTTGCAAACATGCAGAAAGTGCCCAGCTTACAATTATTTGGTCCCAGAACAACAGACGTTGCCTGCAGAAAATGTTCTTATTTGGTTCCTAAAAGAAAATAACCAACTGGGATCGTTCTGTGTTTGCTGGGTGTTTCTGATTGGCTAAAGAAAAAGCGTGGGTCGTCCGCCTTGTGCTTTTTCCTTGCTTTTTTGCAGAGACTGGTGTGATTTCTCCAGACGCTTATCTCAGTGATATCTGTCAGGTAGTTAGAGGCGTTTTGTGCGTCTTATAAAATTGCTTACAGCATCTTTAAATTAAGAACTTTTTAATCTCTAAAGAACCGTATAGCTAACTCAAATATCCTGTGCTGTAACAAATATCTAACAATTCTTAAATCAAGATAGATTTTCTTGATAAGTACAAAGTTTTTAAGTCTTGTTTTCCATAAAAATTAGTTTATGCTTAAAACAAGAAAAAAATATCTGCCAATTTTCTTCACAATATTTAAAGGTGTAATATGATGCTAATTTAGAAGTTTATCATTTCTTTATCAGGTGTAATGCTTTAGAGGCATTACAGTTCAGACACGCGCTCGGTGTTCGCCCAATCACAACGCACTGAGTCAGCTGGCCAATCAGAGCACTCTTGGCTTTTCAGAAGGCGGGGCTTTGTAGACATCACTGCATTTCAGACAGACTGGGAATAGAGGTGCTGCAATAATGTGAAATATAGTGTGTTTTTTTAACAATTACAAAATTACAAGTACATTAATATATTCTATTGCACCCAAAATATTAAAATAATGATTTTTTGAAAAGCATCATATGACCCATTTAAGAATATATAGACATTTTTCTGAAAAAAAAGCCGAAAATGTTTGTTTAAAAATCATTGGTAACACTTTATAATAAGGTTCATTAGTTAACATGAGTTAATGTATTAACTAATGAAGCTTATTGTAGTGTTACCAAATCATTTTTAGCCGAGAAGAGGAGGTTTCTCTGCCGAATTGAAGTGTCCTGATAATCATTCTGCCGGTGTGTGTGTGTGTGTGTGTGAATGTTCCGTCAGCCCCGTGTGGAGGCCACTTCACGGCGCCGGTGGGACTGGTTCTGTCCCCGGGGTGGCCCGGATACTACAAAGATTCCCTGAGCTGCGAGTGGGTCATCGAGGCCGAGGCGGGACGCTCCATCAAGATCAGCTTTGACAGGTCTGTTGGATCGCTCTGAGAATACACACACACTGAGGCGTCAGCTTTATCCACCGACACAAATCACATCACGCTTACAGAAGCATCATATTCATATATCTGTGTCCGTGTCCTCTGGGTGTTTATAAAGTCTCAGTCTGCGGTTAGAGTGGAGTTAATAAAGTAATGTCAAAGGTTATTGAATTGAAGTCTCAGCTGAATGCGGGAAAGTTCACATCCATCCGTCCATCAACCATCCATCCGTCCATCCATCATCCATCCATCCATCCATCCATCCATCCATCCATCCATCCATCCATCCATCTATCCATCCATCCATCTATCCATCCATCCATCCATCCATCCATCCATCCATCCATCCATCCATCCATCTATCCATCCATCCATCCGTCCATCCATCCATCCATCCATCCATCCATCCATTAATCCATCCATCAACCATCCATCCATCCATCCATCATCCATCCGTCCATCAACCATCCATCCATCTATCATCCATCCATCCATCATCCATCCATCCATCCATCCATCCATCCATCCATTAATCCATCCATCAACCATTCATCCATCATCCATCCATCCATCCATCTTTCCATCCATCCATCCATCCATCCATCCATCCATCATCCATCCATCCATCCATCCATCCATCCATCCATTAATCCATCCATCAACCATTCATCCATCCATCCATCCATCAATCCGTCCATCAACCATCCATCCATCCATCATCCATCCATCCATCATCCATCCATCCATCAATCCGTCCATCAACCATCCATCCATCCATCCATCCATCCATCCATCAACTATCCATTCATCCATCATCCATCCATCCATCAACCATCCATCCATCCATCATCCATCCATCCATCATCCATCCATCCATCAATCCGTCCATCAACCATCCATCCATCCATCATCCATCCATCCATCCATCCATCCATCAACCATCCATTCATCCATCATCCATCCATCCATCATCCATCGATCCATCAATCCGTCCATCAACCATCCATCCATCCATCATCCATCCATCCATCCATCCATCCATCATCCATCATCCATCCATCCATCCATCCATCCATCCATCCATCCATTAATCCATCCATCAACCATTCATCCATCCATCCATCAATCCGTCCATCAACCATCCATTCATCCATCATCCATCCATCCATCATCCATCCATCCATCATCCATCCATCCATCAATCCGCCAATCAACCATCCATCCATCATCCATCCATCCATCCATCCATCAACCATCCATCCATCAATCCGCCAATCAACCATCCATCCATCATCCATCCATCCATCATCCATCCATCCATCAATCCGCCAATCAACCATCCATCCATCATCCATCCATCCATCATCCATCCATCCATCAATCCGCCAATCAACCATCCATCCATCATCCATCCATCCATCCATCCATCATCCATCCATCCATCAATCCGCCAATCAACCATCCATCCATCATCCATCCATCCATCCATCCATCCATCAACCATCCATCCATCCATCCATCCATCCATCATCCATTCATCCATCATCCATCCAACCATCAACCATCCATCCATCATCCATCCATCCATCCACCATCCATCCATCATCCATCCATCCATCCATCCATCATCCATCCATCCATCAATCCGTCCATCAACCATCCATCCATCCATCATCCATCCATCCATCCATCCATCCATCAACCATCCATTCATCCATCATCCATCCATCCATCAATCCATCCATCAACCATCCATCCATCCATCCATCCATCATCCATCCATCCATCAATCCGTCCATCATCTATCCATCCATCCATCATCCATCCATCCATCCATCCATCCGTCCATCAACCATCCATTCATCCATCATCCATCCATCCATCCATCCATCCATCCATCCATCCGTCCATCAACCATCCATTCATCCATCATCCATCCATCCATCCATCAACCATCCATAAATCCATCTATCCGTCCATCATCCATCTGTCTATTAACCATCCATCTATTCATCCATTCATCCATCCATCCGTCCATCAACCATCCATTCATCCATCCATTCATCATCCATCCATACATCCACCCGTCCATCAACCATCCATCCATCATCCATCCATCCATCATCCATCCATCCATCCATCCATCCATCATCCATCCATCCATTCGTCCATCCGTCCATCAACCATCCATCCATTCATCCATCCGTCCATCCATCCATCCGTCCATCAACCATCCATCCATCATCCATCCATCCATCCACCCATCCATCCATCCGTCCATCCATCCAATAGAAACACCCTGAGGCATCAGCTCTCTGCGATGACAAATCGTTTCAGTGCATATCACGCTTACAGAAGCAACATATTCATATATCTTTATCTGTGTCCTTTGGGTGTGAGTTTTTATAAAGTCTCGGTCTGCTGTTAGAGTGTAGTTAATAAAGTGTAATGTCAAAGGTAATTGAATCGTAAGCCTCAGCTGAATGCCGGAAAGTTCACATGTTTCCAGATAGTGTTTGTCATGGCGCTCAGACCGAGAGCGGCTCAACATTAGCGTCTGTATAAATGATGGCACAGTTACATCGACGGGCTTGATCCATAGGCCGCTGTGAAAGGGAAATGGAATTAATCTATATCTTGTTACGAATGGTTGACTTCATTTCATTAGCACTGCATGCTTCCCTTGAGTAGCGCATTGAAATAGCATCAGATCTGGAGTTTGATACGACTGACTCCCGGGAGCGAACGCCTCGAGATGCACAGAACACTCGATCGTGTTTCTACGGCTCTTTTTTTTCACTTTCTTTCTTCTGTAAAATATGAAAGGAGATCTAATGACAAATGTGCTGGCTGCTCTTTTCTATCTAATTACTTGGAATGTGGGCGAAAAAAAATAAATAAAAAAAATCATAAAAGTGCCTTGTTTAAATTTAAGTCTTCTGAAATCATATGATCATCCATCCATCCTTCTATCCATCATCCATCCATCTGTCTATCCATCCATCATCCATCCATCCATCCTTCTATCTATCCATCATCCATCCATCATCAATATATCAATCCATCCATCCTTTCATCTATCCATCATCCATCTATCAATCCATCCATCCTTCCATCTATCCATCATCCACCCATCCTTCTATCCATCATCCATCCATCATCCATCCATCATCCTTCTATCTATTCATCGTCCATCCATCCTTCTATCCATCATCCATCCATCTATCAATCCATCCATCACCCATCCTTCTATCCATCCATCATCCATCCGTCCTTCTATCTATCCATCATCCATCCATCATCAATCTATCAATCCATCCATCCTTTTATCTATCCATCATCCATCTATCAATCCATCCATCCATCATCCATCCATCTATCTATCCATCATCCATCTATCAATCCATCATCCATCTATCAATCCATCATCCATCCATCATCCATCTATCAATCCATCCATCATCCATCCATCCATCCATTCACCCATCCATCCATCATCCATCCACCCATCCATCCATCATCCATCCGTCCGTCCATCCATCAATCAATCATCCATCCATCATTCTTCTATCTATCCATCATCCATATGTCCATCCATCATCCATCCATCATCCTTCTATCTATCCATCATCCATCCATCTATCAATCCATCCATCATCCATCCATCACCCATCCTTCTATCCATCCATCATCCATCCATCCTTTTATCTATCCATCATCCATCCATCATCCATCTATCAATCCATCCATCATCCATCCATCCTTTTATCTATCCATCATCTATCAATCCATCCATCCATCATCCATCCATCACCCATCCATCCTTCTATCTATCCATCATCCATCTATCAATCCATCATCCATCTATCAATCCATCCATCCATCATCCATCCATCACCCATCCATCCTTCTATCTATCCATCATCCATCTATCAATCCATCATCCATCATCCATCCATCTATCCATTCACCCATCCATCCATCCATCATCCATCCATCATCCATCCGTCCATCCGTCATCCATCCTTCTATCCATCCATCTATCCTTCCATCTGTTTATCTATCCATTCATCATCCATCCTTCTATCCATCCTTCCTTCCGTCTATCCATCATCCATCAGCCATCCGTCTCTATCCATCCATCATCCATCCTTCTATCCGTCTTTCTATCCATCCTTCCATCCGTCCATCATCTATTTTTTGCTCTATTTATCAGGCAATGATAACGTGATTTCATAAGACTAACTTCATAAGAATAACTTACATGATTATTTTAGACTCTTTTATTGATTCATTTTTGTTTTTATTGTAATTAATGTTCGAATGACAGAAAGAATACCGGTTTTGGAACAACACGAGGATGTGTAAATGACTGCATTTCCATTATTAGCTCAACTCTTCCCTGAAAAGCTCACGGCAGCAGATCTGTGTGTGTTCACACATCACAAAGCGGTAAACAGTGTGAACACTGGTCCTCGTTAGCAGAGGCGGTCAACGAGCGACAGTTGGTCAGCCGTGGCTAATGAGCTGTTTGTGTTTGTGTGTCTGGATTGAAACACATTTCACCGTGTCATTCACATATCTCCTTTCTTTGATCTGTTTTATTTCCGGCAGGTTCCAGACAGAACTCAATTATGACTTTCTGGAGGTTCACGATGGGCCTAATCTCCTCTCGCCTCTTATCGCCTCTCTAAATGGCACCCAAGTCCCTCAGTTCCTGTTCAGCAGCGGAAACTTCCTGTATCTTCTCTTCACCACCGATAACAGTCGCTCTAACAGTGGCTTTAAGCTCTTTTATGAAAGTGAGTCGGCCGTCTTTATAAACCCTGCGCCTTTTGCCTGAGAAATGATATTTCAACCTGAATCGTATCTGTTTCTGCACACAAGCAAACAGCTTGAGGATTTCTCTTTGTAGTATTCTGTCTCACTCTCTCCATTTCTTTCCTTTTTTTTGCGATTTAGTGTGCTTTATTGACTTGACAAAAACTGCTTTCATATTTCCAGACCGTTTGCAGCAATGCTGTTTTCAACGATAAATGCTATAAAATAAGACGAAAATAGTTTTTATTTAATTTCATATTGCTACCTGAGTAAACAATTATTATTAACAAAAAAAGGATTGATAAATCCTTTAATCAATGCAATGTATTGCAATAATATAATGTAATATAATTAATATAATATAAAACAATAAAATAAAATAAATTCAAGGTAAGTTTACATAGCTTTTTTTATGTTTACCTTTAATGCAATGCAATGCAATGCAATGAAATGAAATGAAATGAAATGAAATGAAATTAAATTAAATTAAATTAAATTAAATTAAATTAAATTAAATTAAAATTATTTCAGGTAAATTTACATTGTTTAGGTTATTTTTGAAACTGTATGTTTACCTTAATGCACAATAAAATTGTATTTAATTTTTATACTTAATTTTATAGTATTGCCAGAGTAAACAAGGATTATTAAAAAATAAAATAATTTTAAACACAATTATCAGTGCAATGCATTCCAATAAAATAACAATAAAACCATTTTAGTAAGTTTGCATTGTTTTTTTTCTGAAACCAAATACATTTACCTTTAATGCACAATAAAATAAAATGATACATTTTTTTAAACTTTATTAACTATTATTAAAAATATCTCTTTAACTATTATTTTAACTTTAAATGATGTCAAATAATCTGTCGTTTGCATTCTCTTTGCTTCAGGCGTCACTCTGGACACTCATTCATGTCTGGATCCCGGTGTTCCGGTAAACGGGATCCGTTACGGGCAGGACTTGGCCATCGGGTCGGTGGTGTGGTTCGGCTGTGAGCCCGGATACAGACTGAGCCACGAGGACCAGTTAGTGTGTGAGAAGAACCACTGGTGGAGCCATCCTCTGCCCACGTGTGACGGTGAGCTGGCCTCTCATCAGACCCGTAAACGCTTCTTTCATTCAACATTCAACTATTGTAGCGTTTTAATTAAAGCCTCATTGTATGAGCCTGGATAAAAATTCTCATCATATTTAATTCACACTGCAAATCTCATCAAAAACATAATTTCTCTCACAGCAGGAAATGCCGTCAGATCTAAATAAATACAGTTCTGTCGAAACTGGTTGTTCATATGACAATATGTAGTTAAAGTTTCATTCAGAACATTTAGAATGTAAGTTGACAAAAATGATATTGTTTTTGTTTAGTTTATGCATGTATAAAATAATAATAAATACATATCAATGCAATGCAATAAAATAAAATAAAAATAATTTCAGGTAAGTTTACATTGTTTACATTATCTTTTTGAAACTATGTTTGCATTAATGCACAATATTTAAACAGTTATCAGTGCAATGCATTTTGATAAAATAAAATAATGTTAGTAAGTCTGCATTGTTTCTTTACTAAACTGTACGTTAACCTTTAATGCACAATAAAAAAATATATATAAAAAAAATAAAAAATCAATAAAATAAAACAAGTTCAGGTAAGTTTTCCTTGAGTTTTGTTCTGAAACTGTGCGTTTACCTTTAATGCACAATAAAATATTTTTTTAACTTAATTTTATATTGCTACTGGAGTAAACAGGGATTATTAACAATTATCAATGCAATGCAATAAATAAAATGCAATAAAATAAAATATATGTTGGCAAAAAATGATAATGTTTAGTTTATACATGTAGCACCTGTTATTGTCTATTGTGTCAAAAGAATGATTACATTACATTCCCGTCCATATATATTTATATAGAGGCTGACGTGTCACAGAATGTTCTGTTCTTAAAAAGTGTGTGAAAGTTCTCAAAGTTTTGTCTTTTCATGAGCAGTTTTGGCACTCTGAGAACTGACAAGCGTCTCCGTCTATTCAATTAGACATAATCATCAGCTAAAATGTTAATTATAAACCAGAAGAACCTCTTAGAAATGTTTAGTTTGCTGCCAGACTGTTGACTAACGCTCAGGACTCAAGACATCTCGTTCACTTTCAGCATGAAACTGATACTCTAATACTCTAGTGATTTATCCAAATAAAGTGTAACCGTCCATTCTGTTGACTTTAACCAAGTCTTGTAAAATGTTCTTATTTCCAAAAGAGCGCTCATCGCATGTCTGGCCCATTTGGCGTATTAAATTTGAATGAATCCATGTCATTCTGAATGAACTGAATATGGAGGAAATATTTCGGGTACTTCACAGTGCCAGAGGGAGGAAAGAAAGAAAGAGATTTAGGCAGATGTTAAGCCCGAGGCGCTAGACTCTTTCATCGTCTCACAGGGAGTGGCGCTGACATTCATTATCATTAAAGGTGAAGTCTCTGAGGAAATATGCCTTCATTCCTTCAATTCTGAAGTTGCATGAAAGCCCTTAAGTTAAGAAAACGCTAAGTTATAAGGTTAAGGGTAACTTTAGTGAAACATGCGTTGCAAGAATAAACCTAAGGGTCCACTTAAGAAACTTTAAAGGGGACATATCATGAAAATATGACTTTTCCCGTGTGTAAGTGCTGTAATCCGGTGCTTCTACCGACACAGAAAACGTGAAAAGTGAAACCCAGTAACTCTGTTCTGGTGAGTCTTTCTCTGCAAGCATGTTATAAAATAAGCCGATCAGATTCTGATGTAAGAAGAGGATGTTATTATAATATTCCCGGCCCTTAATCTGCACGTTCACACACACCAGCGACATTGGGTTCGGCGAGCGCCAACAGAGACCAGTTCTAACGCACTGGAGAAGATCCAGCAAAGCCTGAAACTGTTCTGTGGTCGAGCACAGACGACACTGAACACTATTGACCAGAACATGTCAGCGCTGTCTTATAAACACCTCAGGAACTGTGGACACTTGTGGAAGAGTTCAACATGATGAGGAGATGATCAGTGTAACTCCACAACAACTACAGAAATGTCTCCGCTAACATTCAGAAACGTGTAAAAGTGAAGCTCTCCCTGAGTCTCTCCGTAAGGCTGCACTCGCTGCTGTTACTCCTGATTCTGGATCAGTGAGATCGGCCTGTGTTGTTATTGCCGGAGTCTCTGAAGCTCCGCCCTCTTCTGAACGGAGGCGGAGCTAAAGCTCATTTGCATTTAAAGAGACACACACAAAAACGGCGTGTTTTTGCTCACACACAAAAACAAGCAAATTTGACGAGCTATAATAAATGATCTGTGGGGATTCTGAGCTGAAATTTCACAGACACATTCTGGGGACGCCATAGATTTATGATTTATATTACATCTTGTGAAAAGGGGCATAATGTCACCTTTAAGGCTGTTGTTAAGTATTTTCCCTTAATGACTTGAGAGTTCCCTTATGCATCACAGAAAAGCCCTTACCGACCATTTAGCCCTAAAAAAGGACCAAAACAGGTCGTCTGCTTTACTCAAGCACGATGGATGATGTTATGTTAATTGAGGAGGAAGTACCGATGTGCATTTTTTTGCGATCGAAATAAGTCTGTGGAAACTAAAATGACGTGAAACTAAAATTGAATGAACGCCAACGTTTTCATCACTTCCTCTCTGCGCTTGAATTAATGATCACATGCCAGGCTTTTGTCTGCAAGAGTGACTGATTATAGCAGATGGCTTGGGTGGTTTTCACCTGGTTTTTTAAAAAAGAAAAGTTTTATTTTGTCTATGGTCCAGTGTAGTTTGAATTCCTGCATTTTTGTTTGCAGAGAGACTCCGCCCACACGCTCTTCTGATTGGCTGTGGTTTGTGAATGATTTGGTTGTGAGGGCAGTGCGCTTGCAGAGAGACTCCGCCCACACTCTCTTCTGATTGGCTGTGGTTTGTGATTGATTTGGTTGCGTGTGCAGTGCGCTTGCAGAGAGACTCCGCCCACAAGCTCTTCTGATTGGCTGTGGTTTGTGATTGATTTGGTTGTAAGTGCAGTGCGCTTGCAGAGAGACTCCGCCCACAAGCTCTTCTGATTGGCTGTGGTTTGTGATTGATTTGGTTGCGTGTGCAGTGCGCTTGCAGAGAGACTCCGCCCACACGCTCTTCTGATTGGCTGTGGTTTGTGATTGATTTGGTTGCGAGTGCAGTGCGCTTGCAGAGAGACCCCGCCCACACTCTCTTCTGATTGGCTGTGGTTTGTGATTGATTTGGTTGCGTGTGCAGTGCGCTTGCAGAGAGACTCCGCCCACACTCTCTTCTGATTGGCTGTGGTTTGTGATTGATTTTGTCGCATGTCTGGTGTGGACACAAATTGCTTGTCTCTGTAATTGCGTCTGTAAGAGAATGTTAATTGGAATGCAAGCACTTAAAATGTTTGGTCAGTTTTAAAATGATTTTCTGTCCCATCTCATGTTGTTGTCTCTTGCTGTTACTAGTTTTCACAGTCGAGTCTTAGCATGAGACTGAAATGTTATTTCTTTGGTTTGACCATTACTCAAAATCTATATTTGCCCCAATCAATTAAGCCCTGCCGAGATAATGCCCCCAGCCTATTGCAGCTTTCGCTTTCTTGAGACACTTGAGTCGCTCTTCAATTGACAGATTGTGTTCAGAAGAAACACAATTAGAAATGAGCCATGAGCTTCAGATTCGCTGATTGCACATATACATCATCAAGAGTCTATCCAATGCATGCAAATTTTTGTTCATCTGCAATTTCGCTTCAACATTCTTTGTGTTTGCACAACATATAGCAGACGGTTTTGTTAATGTTTTAAAATGTGTCCAAAATCACTCTTTTATTTGGACACAAATCTGAAATATTGAATAGAATAGAATGTGAAGAACATGAAGTACTTTTCATTATTTATGCATTTGGCAGACGCTTTTGTCCCAAGCATTTTTTAAAATGGGTTCATGCGTTCCCATTTTTTTTTTTAATCAAAATGATTTATTCATTCATCTGCACACAAATTTTATATAAATTTATGTGAAATTTGATGAGCTAGTTTACAAAATGCGCCAGCCATTATGAAACAAACCAGAATACATTTTTGGAAATCATTATTAAAACCATTCCTACATAAATTGTCGTATTCAGTTCAGTGTGATAGAGTTTTTTACAATCACTTTGCTACTATTTTCAGAACCTTGATGTCATTTTTCAAAACTCTAGACACAAAACTCAAAACGATAATCACTTGTAACACAGGCTGTCTAATGTTCAAAACATTGCATTGTGCATTCACATCTTTAAAGAAATCTTGCACTTGCACAATCATTGGTTCAAAAAACAAATTAACTGTGAAATACCATTGAAACACAACTATAGATCACCCACACACAAGCAACCGATAGTTTCACTGTGTCATTGTTCGTACAATCATTAAATATTGTAGAGCAAAATAGGTGATACAGGTTTCATTATGGTACTACATGTACAGTAAACACATCTCTGTAAAAGTACTGCAGTAGTAGAGAGAATATTACAGACACAGTGGAATCATTGTGAACAAAGTTTGTAATATATTGATGCAAAACACTACAGTACAATCACAACATGGTTTTTTGAATCAAAGCAAAAATAATTAGCTATGAAATAGAAAAGAAAAGACAGTACTGTAAAACATCAAATGCAGTGTTCCTCAACTTGCTGTAAGAAACTAAACAGGAGTGATTACTGTACTTCTACACTGTCATCAACTCTGTGTTGTGGATTTGGCCACAGGTTCTCATCTACATCACAATGGATGTTGGAAAATGACATCTTGGAAAAAACCTTTGGCATGGCGAGTCCAGGCCTGACACTGCTCTGCTGTGATTGGCAGAATTGGACACGCAGTTACAAGGGCCTGCATCTATACAGTACTGTACTGTCAATACTGTACATAGTCTGAAAAGGTGGTACAGTATTTGGCACCATAGACACAGTGTCTGATGAAGCATTACAGTATGATAAAATATTAGGCTACATCCATGGATATTGTAGTCTAATTGGTTCATGCCATGCTAATTGGTGACAATGAATCTCATTATCTTGAAACTTTCATGATTTACTGTAAACATGGAAGATTGTGTGTCTGTTTCCATACAACTATGCATTAAGAGTAATGCAACAGTTACTTATCATTTTGAGCAGTTGTATCAATTGATAGTTAGATCATTGTAAGGAAATGAATAAACACTCATTTGAAATGTAATGTGTGAATTGCCTTTTGAAATAGTAGTACTGTGATGTTAAGTTGTGTCATATTGAACAGGTGATCTTTGTTGAATGAACAAATGATCTAAGTTTTATGTGTATTGTATCCAAGCAATTGAGAAAAGGGTTAGAGTTTTGAAAAATGTGCTTTTTGATCATTGGTTGTGAGTTTTGTGTCTAGAGTTGTGAAAAATGACATCAAGGTTCTGAAAATAGTAACAAAGTGATTGTAAAAAACTGTAATTTACATGCCATTCCGAACACAAATTTCTGTGCAAATTGCAAATTGCTTAATTGTGTAATTGAAACCATTCTTACCTAAAAATGCAAACATACACATGATAGCTTTTAATGCAGATTTTTATAATGGTTTCACAACTGATTCACACAAAATCATTATTTATGCATCCTTTATAGATGCTTTATATTTTTTATGAGTTCATGCATTCCCTGCGATTCAAACCCACGACTTTGATGTTGTTGCCCAGCTGGACCATTTCCATAATGACCAACATTTAATGCTAACAATTAGTGTCTGGTTTAAGACATGCTTTTTTGGGCGGTAAATAATAGTGCAAATACCAGTAACTCTCCCCTATAAAAGTTCCCCATTTATGCTATTTTAAAGGTACATAATGCTATTTTGGAGTTTCCTACAATAGGTTTACATGCATCCAAGTCAAAAAACACTTTAATTTTCTCTTAATATACATCGCAGCATCACCTCATTTCATCACCTCGAAGATTCAGTCTCTCTAAACTCCGCCTCTCTGTGAGCTGCTCTGCTCTGATTGGTCAGACGGACCAGTCTGCTGTGATTGGTCAGAAACCAAACACTCATTAGCATATCTGAATCTCAGCTCTTGATCACAGTGATACGAACATTAACAATGGCGTGGGTTTCACCGTATCAATCTCAGAAAACAGCGTCTCCTCGACACGAACAACACGAACCAAACTCTTCCAGTCTCAGATACACTAGTGTTAGAGGGCGGGGCTTAGAGACGCTGTTCAGCCAATCAAGACCAGAGGCTGGCATTATGCAAATTAGTTACATTGTAACAGGATTGTAACAGGAAGTGAGACTGAATTACCGACGACTCGTTTCAACAGTTCAGAATCACTTCTTTCTTTTAGGAGACGATAACTTTTATTATCGTGCACTTTGATCTTTAAAACTTTGCAGACCTTTTACATTCACAAACAGCTTTATTGCATGAAAGGGAATTTCTGAAAAAGCTGCTTGTGTAAAAAACTTGCATTGAAGAAGGGATTCGAGTCAGAAGAGTTGAAACTAGATAGCAATGTCCATGCAATCATC